GCCTAAGCCGAAAGGCGTCATGACTTTTGAGCACGTCAGCAAAAAGTCGAGGTATCAGATGCTCGGACGACTCGGAATGGTCAGCGTGGACTCAGCACCTCCAGTGGAAATCAAGAAGGATGCCGCGCTCGTTGAGGGATCGACCATTCAGTTGTGGAATGTTCTCTTGGAACACACCTTCCCTCAGGTCAATTTCAGCGCTTGGTCTCCTGATAGCCTGCACGTGTATTTCTCAGCGATTGAGAATGAGCAGGAGGAGCGTCAGACAGCCTTTGAAGACGCAATGAAGAAATCGCTGAGTCGATACGATAAGGTTTTGTTCCCGATTCAGTGTCCTGAGGGCGCTGGGACGCACGGCTCAGGACACTGGACTCTCCTTGTCGTCGAGACGAGGGCGGAGGGAGTCAGTCTGGCAGAGCCTCGCATCAGGTACTACGACACACTGAACGAAGCGAATGAGGTGTGTCTTGAGAGAGCCCATCAGATCCTCACGTCGTCCCTGCCGTTTCTCAGCCAGCAGGCGCTAGTGAGTGCGCTCACCAGGCACCATGTCTTCAGGCAATCAGGTACCGACTGCGGCTTCTGGGTCATGCATTACATGGAGCTGGAGGTCAGGCGGCTGGCCGGTGAGGGCGGCGGTCCAGTCACGACGCCTAAGGACAGGAAGAGGGCCCTCATCACGAAGCGCGTCAGCGCCGCGAAGCAGCTAGAGAAGGCGCGAGCAGACTGGCTTCAGGAAGCAGCTTTTGAGGAGGCCAAGGTCCAGGCTGCGCAGGCGCTCCTTCAGGCCAAAACAGATCGGAAGCAAGCCGAGCAGAGGGAGGCCGAGGAGCTCCGGAGGAGGGCTGAGGAGGCAGCGCTGGTCAGCACGTGGTGCAGGACGCTTCCAGATGCCATTCCTGACGACCCGAAGGAAATCAGAAGGAGGTTGAAACAGGAGGAGTCTCAGGAGTTGAAGGAGCAGGTGAAGGCCACCGTTCAGAAAATCCTGGAGACAGAGCTTGAGGCGGCGAGTCAGCAGAAACCTTCAAAGGCTGAGTGCCCCGCCGAGGAGGGGCCTCAGAAGCAGGCGCCGGAAAAGGCTGCAGCGGAGGCAGGCCCAGGCGAGGAGGCAGGCCCCGCGAAGGGCGCAGAGGCAGGCCCCGCCGAGGAGGAGCCTCAGAAGCAGGGGCCGGCAAAGGCTGCAGCGCCCGAGGAGGGCGCAGAGGCAGGCGCAGGAGGAGGAGGAGGCGCAGGAGGAGGAGGAGGGAGCGCCGAAGGAGGAGGAGGAGGAGGAGGAGGAGGAGGGGCTGCACGAGGAGGCGGAGGAGGAGAGGGCGCGGGCCCTCAGAAGGAGGCGCAGAAGGAGGAGGAGGCGAAGAAACACGCGCAGGAGGAGCTCGCAGCGCTTGGTCAGAAGCATAAGGGCGAGAAAGGCTTTGAGACGTGGTTGAGGAGCCTCTCCGAGCCAGTCCTTCGCGTGGCATTCTCACAGGCTCAGTTTACGAATGTAAATGGTGAGGAGTGTCAGGCGTACGTCGACTACATGAAGAGCATTCAGTCCGTGCAGGTGTGCGCTAAGTGCGAGTGGGCCACAGGCTGATTGCGTCCTCCTCCTCCTGCTCATCCTTGTCCTCCTCCGTCTCCTCCTTGTCCTGCTCCTCCTTGCCCTCCTCCTTGTCCTCCTCCGTCTCCTCAGGCTGCGTGGCGCGCAGCTACCCCCACGCCCTGAGGTACTGCATCAGGCACGGGAGGCCGCCTACGTGGTGGAGAAAGAGCACGATGAGTGTGCTCAGGGGCATGTGCAGGTGAGCGTTACTACCAGTTAGTGAGGCGATCTCAGCTTGTCTGGAGCGCCTCAGCGCACTCTCGGCCGCAGTTCCAGTCGCGCAGGTTTAGCCGAGGACTCACTCAGCGTTTCAGATTGGAGTTCCAGTCGCCCGCGCAGGCCGTTTGCAGTCACCCTCGTAGCGAAGAGGCAAGCTGTGGCGAGGCGTCCTGGCTGGCCTGTAGGCCCACCACAGAATGTTCTAAGAACCTTTTGTGGTCTTAACGAAATGTTCTTAGAACAGTTCTGGCTGCGACTGTCGTGCTGTAACACATCGGACTTATGTTCTAAGAACATTGCTTTTACTAACTAGTGAGGCGATCTCAGCTTGTCTGGTGCGCCTCAGCGCACTCTCGGCCGCAGTTCCCGTCGCGCAGGTTTAGCCGAGGACTCACTCAGCGTTTCAGATTGGAGTTCCAGTCGCCCGCGCAGGCCGTTTGCAGTCACCCTCGTAGCCATCATCGTCATCAGCGTCACCGTCGCAGCGGCAGTAGCACGAGTCAGGAGCAGAATAGGAATTGGTAGGAATAGGTAGGACTTCCTGGGAATAGACAGGAATATGTAGGATAAGTTACGGAAACGTGTGGATAGTTTGAAATACGGTAGGAATATTTACGAATACCTACGAATAGGTGGGAACAGCTAGCAGAATAGGTAGGAATACTTGCGAATACCTACGAATACCTACGAATACCTACGTATAGGTAGGAATACCTACGAATACCTACGAGTATAAATACGGTACCAATACCTACGAATACCTCAAGAATGCTTAGGAACCTTCTAGGAATTCCCAGGAATTGGTAGGAATGCCTTAGGAATTGGTAGGAATTGGTAGGAATTCTCAGACCTTCCTTAGCAATTCCTTAGGATTTCCTTAGGAATTCCTCAGGAGTTCATTAAGAATTCTTGGTAGAAATTGGTAAGAATTCTCAGACCTTCCTTAGGAATTCCTTAGGAATTCTCAGACTTTCCTTAGGAATCCTTGCGGCTTTGTAATCCTTAGGAATCCCTTAGGAATTGGTAGGACTTCCGAAGGAATTGGTAGGAATTGGTCGGAATTCTCAAACCTTCCTTAGGAATTCCTTAGGAATTCCGTAAGAGAATTCTTGGTAGGAATTGGTAGGAATTCTCAGACCTTCCTTAGGGACTCCTGAGGAATTCTCCGACCTTCCTTAGGAATCCTCAGACCTTCCTTAGGAATCCTTAGGAATCCTTAGGGCCATGGCGCTGGAATTATTTAATTTATTTTTGTTTTGCGCGGTGCTAAAGATAACGCTCGGCTAAAACCACCCCAAATAATTATTTAATTACGGCGCGGTGCTAACGATAACCCCGGGGGGTTCCTTAATTGCTGCCCTGGGTTACCCCCCAGGCTCTGCGATGTAGACGCGGTTCATTATTTTCGGGACCTCGCAAAGGGAGGGGGCACAGGGGGGGGGGGGTGCGTTCGGTCCGTTGGCGCATCAAACTGCAGAACAACTATGCGAAACGAGGTCTCCAGCCGCCGCCGGAACCCGAGAGGTGTCGACAATCGGGGCGCGCGGGGGGTATCGTTTTTCGGAAATTCGATGCACCAGCGGGTCGAACTCCGCCCCCCCCCTCAGGGTCCCCCTTTTGGTGGACGCCGACATTAGGGGTATAGCGAGTCAGAGCTGCCAATGTATGCAACGCTTGTTGGCTCTCGTCCCAAACGCATGGTGCATCTGGACCCAACTGCTGCACCCCCAAAAAAGAACTCGTTCGACGCCCCCCCGCGCTGCGGCAGGACCAGGTCGCCCACAGGGGCGCGAAGACGACCGCGCTTACCGGGCGCGGCGCGACAGAGATAATGGCGCCTCGCGCTTGCCGCGGCGGGGAGCGTGAAGTTGGGCGACCTGGGAGAATCCTTGTCCGACAGCCTTGCCCATCCCGCCGCGGCTCGGTAGGATGTACAATGCCTGTCGGGGCACAGGCGTGTCACGAGGGAAAGACACACAGACACAAAGAATCGCCGATTCCCAGAAAGGTATCGAACACATGGGAAGTGGAAGGGGAAGACGAGCATCCAGGAAATAGGACAAATACCCAATACTCGCGATCTTAGTGTCATTCCGGGGCATGTGCGGGCAATTTTGCCTCGACGCGTACGGTCGTTGTGCGGGAATGTACGCGGCATGTGCCCCGCATATGCAGATGTTTTTAATGTCGGAACGTTCTGGTCGAGTGGCGTTTGCACATGTGCGGCCATGTGCGGGGTCATGTGCTCTCTGTGTTTCCACCATTTGTTTGGTTAGACCTCGCCCTTGAGCGTTCCCTGCGACTGTGTGCGCCTGTGCGTGGCGTGCGCGGGAACAACAGCGTGGCTGCTTGCCCAGGCGCTGCCCGCGCATGCCCCCACATGGCGCCACACATGCCTGCACACCGGCACCGCTCGTGGCCGCGCGGCTACACGGGGCCGCTCGCGGCCGCACCGGTCCGCACAGCAGGCCGCACATGCATCCCTTGGCCCCAGCCCGGCACCTCCGCACGTGGCCGCACACGCCCCGTGGCGGACGACCGCACATGCCCGCATATTGGCGCTTGCTCGAGAGGCCGCGAGCGGGTGCACGGCCAGGTGCGGCCGCACGTGCTTGCGCAGCGCCGCAGGGAGGATCATGAGGGGGAGGAGGAGCAGCAGGGGGGGGAGGGGGAGGAGGGGGGAGGAGGAGGAGGAGGAGGAGGAGGAGGAGGAGGAGGAGGAGGAGGAGGAGGAGGAGGAGGACGGCGTCCGACGGACTCTTGCGCGTTCAGCTCGTTAGGAGGAGGAGGAGGAGGAGGAGGAGAAGAAAACATGCTTGTTTCAGCAGGTGGCGCTTCCTGCCCGCTGGGCGATTTCCGCCGCTTGGCGGTGGGCTTACGAAGTTTTCCCTTTTCTACCAGGTCCTTTGTCCCTCTCAGCCCTTCCGTGCCTCCCAGTCCTTTGCCCCTCCTCCTCCACCGAAGAATGCACGACCGGGCGCCGCGAGCTGTGCAAACGCAGTGCCAGTCATGTGTTTGGCATGTGTGGAGCAGGGATTTTCGGGTGGCGCCCGCGGGCCCCCATTGGCCCGTTATTAAGTTGCTCCTTTGCTCGTAGCATTTCTCTGGTGAAAGGGCTGTCCAGGTTGCCAGGGAAGGCATTCCTGCAAGTTCTGCCCCTCCGGAAAGATGGCGTGTGCGGCCATGTGCCGGCATGGCGGGTTTGTCCTGTCCAGCGGCCTCGCCAGCATGGATCATGGAGAGGCATCGCATGTGCGGGCATTTGCGGGGCGGCGGCGGTTTCATCGCTGCCCCGCACAGAAGCGCACAGGTGGGCGTGCACGCGGGCAGTGCGCCGCACGTGCGCGGAGAAAATGCAGAACAAACGAAAGCTAACATAGAACGAGTGAAACTTACGATAATGAGCCGTGTGTGTGTGTGTGTGTGTGTGTGTGGGACATCCTGGGAATTGTGTAGATTTACGTATGTTTCAGCATTTCGTGCTAATCATGGCCAGCCAGCGGATTTCAAACAACACAGCGCTAAGCATGGCCGACCAGCGGCTTCTGAGCAAACACATATGTAATCAACAAATGCTTGTCATGGGCAAGCTTGTTAGACGCCCTAGCACGGACCCTGTGCGTGTATATGGCTTCGAGCCTGATAGTTTTGACTTGCGCTCGCCGTCGGACCCTTGTAAGAGAGGCCGCCCCAAACATAACTGGGGAACATGGTGATGAAGAGTTGCTTGCGAGTGAAGTTGCCGGCGCGCTCGTGCTGCGTACTTCCGCCCTGAGGGCGGTGCAGCGCGAGCGTGGGCGTCGGCCGCGCAATCGTGGCGCACTTGATGATGCATTACCTTTGCTAGCGCACCGTCTGGTGCAAGGTTCCTGACTGAGTTATTTGAGTGACCTCCGGCCAGTGCCGCCGATCCGAGACGCTCCAGATGCTGGTGGTTGACACGACGGCGACGACGATGACGACGATGGCGACGCCAACAACGGACTACTTACGACTAACGGGAGGAGGGAGGCGGGAGGAGGGGAAGGGAGGAGTGAGGAGGGAGGAGGGAGGAGGGAGGAGGGAGGAGGATGGGGAGGAGGCTGAGGAGGAGGAGGTGGACGAGGAGGAGGAGGAGGAGGAGGAGGAACAGCAGGAAGAGCAGAATGAGGAGGGCGGAGGGAAGAGGATGATGAGAACGAGGATGAGGTCGAGGATGAGGACGAGGACGAGGTCGATGATGATGATGATGAGGATGATGATGGTGATGATGATGATGCTGATGCTGATGCTGATGCTGCTGCTGCTGCTAATGCTGCTGCTGATGATGATGATGATGATGATGATGATGATGATACTGCTGCTGCTGATGATGATGCTGATGATGATAATGATAGTGGTGTTGATGATGATGATGATGATACTGATGCGGAGGAGGAGAATGAGGAGGAGGAGGAGGAGGAGCAATGAATAATATAATGATGATGATGCTCATGCTGATGATGATGCTGATACTGAAGATGATGAGGAGGAGGGTGAGGATGAGGATGAGGAAGATGATGATGATTCTGATGATGGTGATGATGATGCTGATGCTGATGCTGATGCTGATGCTGATGCTGCTGACGACGACGATGATGATGCTGATGCTGATGATGATGATGATGATGATGATGATGGTGATGATGATGATGATGATGATGATGATGATGATGATGATGATGATGTTGATGATGATGACGACGATGACGATGACGATGATGGATGAGGAGGAGGAGGAGGAGGAGAAGGAGGAGGAGGAGGAGGAGGAGAAGGAGGAGGAGGACCAGGAATCAATGCCCGTCGGGTGGTCTCAGGGATGGGTTTCTCGTGGAAGGTTTCTTGTGGTTTGGCCTCCCCTGTGTGGTCCTGTCCTGAGATTCGTTCGTGGGAGGCCTCTGGGGGTGCCCGGACGGTCGGCCCCTGTCCAAAGAGTGGTGGCAACACGTCTAGGGCCCGGGTTTGTGGGGCCCGCCACGTGCGCACGGCGCGCGCGCCCGTCGCCGTCTTGAGTTTTTGGGGTTTCGATTGTATTGCGATGGGAAGCGTGACGATGCCACGCCAGGAATTCAAATGGCGGTCCCGGGGTCTCGCGGTTGGGTTTCTTGTGGAAGGCTTCTTGCGATCGGGTCCCTGCTGTATTTCCCCTCAGGAAGCCGGTGCAGGAAGAATGCGCACTTTGACCTCTTGAAGAGGAGTCGTTTTCTCGGCGTCGCCGCGGACGTTGTCCATCCGATGATACAGAAGGCCGCCTGCCCAACAGCGGCCGCTGATGAACTTGGGCAACGTTTGTTGTTGGGGATCGTGCCCATGTTTTCCGTACCTATGTCGGGCATCCCAGTGCAGGTCCTTGCTCCCGCGCGGTCTGCGCCGCACGAGCTGCTCTGCGAGATCTCCGAGGCGGAGTTCCACGCCATGCTGGCCGCAGGCCGCGGCCAGGAGGAGGAGGCGAGGGTCGTCGGACGGGCTTAGAATCGAGACAGATCCGTTCCAGAGCGTTCGGGAACGCTCTCAGAGCGTTCTGGAGCGCTCCGGGAAGGCCGCGGCGCCCGAGACATCCTCCAACCCCGCCGTGCCTTAGATATTTCATTTCTATGTCGGCCCGAGTTATTCTCGATGCTGCTTCCGTTTTAGAGCCGCGGCGCCAAAGACATCCTCCGGAGCCGCTGGTTTTCAGAGATTCTCGAATTACGTATCCCCACCCGAATGTATCCTCGCCCAGACATCGTCTTAGCGGCGGCGTGCAGAGGTGTGTAGGGGGTGGGCGGGAGGCTTCCTAAAAGCACCCTTGTTTCTTGGAAGGCAGTGTGTGCGTGAATGTGTGTCTTGTGTGTTCTGTGTGTATGTTGTGTGTCGGAGTGAGTTGTGTGTGTTGTGTGTTGTGTGTTTGTGTTTTGTGTGTCGTGTGTTGTGTGTTGTGTGTGTTGTGTGTTGTGTGTGTGGTGTTTGTGTCTTGTGTGTTGTGTGTGTGTTGTTTGTGTTGTGTGTGTTGTGTGTGTTGTGTGTGCTGTGTGTGTTGTGTTTTTTTGTGTTGTGTGTTGTGTGTTGTGCGTTGTGTGTGTTGTGTGTTGTGTGCTGTGTGTGTTGTGAGTGTTGTGTGTGTGCGTTGTGTGTATGCCAGGTGTGCGTGTGCGTGATCGTGTTTGTGTGCGTGTGCGCGTGCGTGTGCGTGTGCTTGTGTGTGTATATATGTGCGTGTGTGTGTGTGTGGATGTGCGCGTGCGTGTGCGTGTTGTGTGTGTGTGCGTGTTGTGTGTGCGTGTGCGCGTGCGTGTGCGCGTGCGCATGCGCGTGCGCGTGCGCCAGCGTGCGCGTGTTCGTGCGCGTGCGCGTGTTCGTGCGCGTGCGCGTGTTCGTGCGCGTGCGCGTGCGCGTTCGTGTGTGAGTGCGTGCGTGCGTGAGCGCAAGGGCATGAGTGCGTGCGTGCGTGCGTGCGTGCGTGCGTGCGTGCGTGTGTTTGTGTGTGTTGCATCCCCCTGATGCCCGATCGCCAGAACAGTCGCCCTTTGCCCAGCCGCCGGCGAAAAAAGTGTGTGTGTGAGAGAGAGAGAGAGTCACGCGCCTTCTGAGAAGCGGCCGCCTTCTAAGAAGCCTTCCTCCCTGCCCGTATCGCCTTGTGCGCGCTGCCAAGTCCCAGGTAGGGGGCAGAGTCGTGTCGCCCGCTCCTCGCTCTCCCTTCGCGCCGGGCCCCCCTTTTTGCGCGGGGCGCCTGGCGGCCCGTGTTCCCGCGAGCACGCACGCACACCGCTCCTCGAGAAGGTGGTGGACACGGGCGGGGGACTAAGGGCAGCGTCAGCTGCGGACTCTAACGCCGCCAGCGGCGGCGGCAGGAGGAGGAGGAGGAGGAGGACGAGGAGGAGGAGGAGACGGAGGAGGAGGAGGACGACGAGGAGGAGGAGGAGGAGGAGATGGAGGAGGAGGAGGAGGAGGAGGAGGAGGAGGAGGAGGAGGATGCAGAGGCACCCACGAGCCTCTTCGGCCTCCTGGGAGGCAGCCGTCGCCACCGCTGGATTCGCGTAGGGACTCCTGGTCAGCAGGCGCCCCAGGAGAGGGCCGTGGAGCAGCGGCATCGGTGGCCCCTGCGCTTCCCCAGGGAGGAGTGCGGGGTCCAACCCTTCTTTCAACAGGGGTGTTGTCCAACCTACCCCTTTGCAATGGTATGCGATGTCCCTGCCTGGGGAGAGATCCATATCTTCTGTTTTCCTGTCACGATCATCTATATTTGCGTCAGCGTCGTGGGTATAGTCCGCGTCAGCGGCGCAGGCCGAGTCGGAGCAATACGAGTCAGACCCGGAAGGAGTGGCCTCGGCGGGCTCTTTGTCGACTGCTGCTTCTTGATTTTTCTCGATTTCGGCTTTTCTCGGGGCCGGTTTCGGGCCCCCGGGCCATCGGACATCGATCCAGGCCTGGGATGGAGAGCTGGCCAGGATGAACTCCTTGAGAGCTGTGGTGGGGGGGCTATTTGGATGGGTTCGGAGCGGACTGCGGGGGAGGAGAAGGCTTGGGGCCGCGCGGCAGCATGTGGCGCTGAAATGGGTAAAACTCTGGCCACGACTTACGCTCTCGCAGCTCCATGCGAGAGAAGACATTCCGCCACGGTGTGCATTTCGCTTGGGAATCCTCTGGATTCGGGGGTGCTCTTTCCACTTCGCGAGGGGGAGGAGGAGAAGGGCTTCCCCCCTGCCACTCCCCGCTGCCAGTGTCTGGCCCGCCTCTGCCCGCCCCCACCTGCAGCGTGCCCTTGTTCCTGCAGGGGGCTGCGCGAGACTTGAACCTGGGTGCCCGGCGTTGCCTGCGCTCTCACACAAGGCCGAACGCGCAGCTCGTGCTCTGGAATCTGCCGGCTGCATCCATCAGCGCGTTGGGGGTGAAAGCGTGCAGCACGTGAGCCCCCGCGGCTGGCGTGGACCCTGGGCGGACCGCAGCGCCACGGGTGCGGGCAGAGGCTGCCAGCCAGCGAGGGCAGGACCTTGGGAGGCCTGCATGCGCTTCGATCCGCCACGAAGGCGAGGACAAGGGTCCCCAGGGAAACGGCTCCTACAATAGTCGGCGGCGAGCGAGGGGGGGAAGAAGTGAGAAGGAGAAGGACTTCTCAGAAAGTTCGGAAGTCCCCCGGCGAAGTGTTGTAAGTCTTCCCCGAAGACCAAAGCAACTTCTCAAAAGGCACGAGGGCTTCTGAGAAGTCCCGCCGCCTTCGGAGAAGGCCCGGGGGTGGACAGAACCCCCACGCTGACACGTCAATTAATGAATTGTCCGTTCTCGGTTCTCGAGAGGGTGCCGCGGCCGTCATTTTCCAGGCTTGCGCCCGCCAGGTTTGGGCCCGAGGTCGTTTTCGCTAGACCATGTTTTGCTAAATGGGTTTCTGTCCATCGCCGAAAGGCCTTCTCCTTGTGGTCGTTTTTTTATTCATTGTTTTGCCGATCGGCGCGGGCCCCCAAACCCCTCCCCCCCATAAAGTAGATCTTGGCTGTTTTTTTGGCGCCTGAGCAGGCGGAGTCTCCCCTCATAGGACGCACTGTTGCAAACAGTCGCAGTAAGCAGAGGTCCGGAGCCAGACACCTCCCCCTCTTCCCCCCCTCCGCCCAGTGTCAAAACCCTGAAGAAGAAAACGCTTCCCTCCTCGTCTCCCGTCCTCCTCCTCCTCCTCCTCCTCCTCCTCCTCCTCCTCCTCCTCCTCCTCCATCTCCTCCCCCTACTCCACCTCTTTTTTCTCCTCCTCCTCCTCCTCCTCCTCCTCCTCCTCCTCCTCCCTCCTCCTCTCCTCCTCCTCCTCCTCCTCCTCATCCTCCTCCTCCTCCTCCTCCTCCCCTTCCTCGTGCTCCTCCTCCTCCTCCTCCTCGTCTCCACCCCTCCTCGAAACAGCTCCTCCTCGTCTCCCCCCCTCCCTCGCCGCCGAAGCAGGTCTCCGGGGGCGATCCCTGGCGCCCGCTCCCCATCCGGAGTGCCTCCCGTGGGCGGCTCTCTGGGCCCGTGGAGCCCGAGGACGTCGAGCAGGCATCAAAGGAGTCCCAGACTGCAGGGCTTCTCCGAAGGGCTTAGGCGACCCGTCCTCCTCCTCCTCGTCCTCCTCCTCCTCGTCCTCCTCCTCCTCCTCCTGCTCCTCCTCCTCCTGCCTCCTCCTCCTCCTGCCTCCTCCTCCTCCTCCTCCTCCTCCTCCTCCTCCTCCTCCTCCTCCTCCTCCTCCATCCTCCTCCTCCTCCTTCCTCCTCCTCCTCCTCCTCCTCCTCCTCCTCCTCCTCCTTCTCCTTCTCCATCTCCTCCTCCTCCTCCTCCTCCCCCTCCCCCTCGTCCTCGGGTTGCATACGGCCCCCTGTCCCCGTATCATCGGGGTGGGAGTTACGTCGGACCTCTCCCTCTACAGGAGGCATATTCAGAAATAGTAAAACAAATAGTCTGGGGGCTATTTCCTTTTTGGGTATTTTTGAATATGGCTTGAACATGTTCAAGGTCTCTTTCAAAACATGTTTTTCGTCCCAAATCCTCCTGTGGGGGGGACATGCCCGACCTCGGGCTGGAGGCCCTCCTCGGGATGCAGTCGCGGCGGCGGTCCGTCCACCTGGCCGCCCGAGCGCGATTCGCGCGAGCGCGCCTTCCTCCGGCGCGCGGCCGCACTGCGGCGGCGAGACCCCGGCCGGCCTCGGGCGGCCTCGAGCGGCAGGGCGAGCGGAGGCCTCTGCGCGCCCAGGGGGGCCCTTCTGGCGCCGAGGGCCGCGCAGAGCTCCGAGCGTGCTCCCCCTGTGCGTGTGCGTGTGTGTGCGTGCGCGTCCGCGCGTGCTGCAGAGGAGGCGGGGGGGTACCGTGGAGTCGGGCCTGCCCCTCTGCAGGAGGAGTGTTCCCAGAGTGGTCGAACAATGGCATGGGGACGACTTGTTTGTAGTATTTCTGCTTGGCTATTTTGGGAGCATTCTGGGGGGTGTTTTTTGTTTTCGTTTTTTTCCCCCTATTTTTCGTCCCAAATCCGCCTGTATGATGCCCGACCTAGGGGTTACCGAGGCGGCTGCCCTTTCCTTGGTTTCCGTTTGTTGGGGCCTCCTGGGAGGGGAGGCCCCCGTCGCCACCGTTGGATCCGCCTCGAAGCTCTGGTCACAACGCGCCCCAGGAGGGGTCCGGGGAGCAGGGGCATCGGTGCCTTTTGGGTTCCCCAGTGCTTGTGACGCGACAGGGTAGGAGTGCGTGCGTGTGCGTGTGTGTGTAACTGGCCATGTTAGCGTGACTCCTCTTCTATCACTCGCGATGGTGCCGTCACCTTGCAGGAGAAGGAGCCCTGCCTTTGTGCCTGAGTCTCATCATCGGCTTCTCTGCCTCTCTGGCTGCCCTGGCCTCTGGGCTCCTCGCGCCTTGCCCTCGCGCGTGGCCTCCGTGGTCCCGCCGCTTACCGGTTCCTCCCTGCCCGGTCCGTCCGTCGGCCCGGTTTGTTCGGTCCGTCCTCTCTCCTTCGCTCCGGTTGCGCGCTCTCTTCGGCTCTCCTTGCCATCGCCATGCCGCTCTTCCGTGCTGTCCTGCGCCGGCCTGGGCGGCTGCCGCTCCTGCCCCCCCCCCCCCCGCGGCCACGTGGGTGCAGTGCCGTTCCGCGCCAGCCGTGCTTCAACACCGCGTCGCCGTGCGAGTGCGGTTGGCGAGGAAATGTGTAATTACGCTTGTGCGTGTGTGAAATTGTGTGTAAATGTGTGTGTGTGTGAATGTGTGTCTGTGTGAATGTGTAACTACGTTTGTGCGTGTGTGAGTGTGTGTGTGTGTTTGCCACAGGGTCGTAAGTGTCCAACCCGCTGGCATTCGTCCTATCCTCGCGTCACCTGAACCGTTGGTTGCACTCCATGGGCGAGCCAGAGCGAAGCACGCGCGTGTGTGCGCGTGGGGGCACTGGGGGGGCCTGAGCTACCGTGCCAGTAGTCCCACTTCAGTCTGGCATATCTTCGGCACGCGCCGCACAATACCGCTTGATTCGCCGAGGAGGATGGAGGGAGGGTTTTTCAGTGTGTAGAGTAGTTGAAGGGGAAGCAGAGGGCTCCTTTCAATCGAAGGTTATTATCGTGCTTCTTCTCGCTGTAACATCTCGCCGCCCCTCGCGTCATGGCAGGATTGCTGAGCCAGCCCGACATGAGTGGGCACAGCGAGCCGTTCGCCCACGCCTTTCCACAAGGAGGCCACCGTTTGGTTTGCAAAATACCGAGATCTCCGCATTGAGGCATATTTCGTTCCCTCCTCGTCCTCCTGCGTAGTCTCGTATCTTGTCCTCCTCACCCCTCTGGTGTATCTTCTCCTCCAGCCCCTGAGGAGGCCCGCCTTTGCCGTATGTCATCACCGCTGCACGGCCTTCGGACGGTGACCGCACAGGGCATATTGCTGAAGCTGGCCATGGCTTCGTTCCCACGGCGCAGTCCTCTGGCTCGGCAACCCCCCCTCACTCGCAGGAGCAGGAGGTGGGAGGAGTGGGGAAGAGGAGGGTAGGAGGGAGGGAGGGAGGAGGGAGGGGCTGGGCGGAGGGAGGGGCTGGGAGGAGAAGGGCGCGGGCACGACCGCCGCCTCGCACGCCGGGCCCAGGACGGGTCTGGCCAGGACCGGTGCAGGCTGACAGCTGGTGGCTGGTGCCCACCCCTCCTCAGCTTCTCCCTCCTCTTCCTCGCCCTCCTCCTGCCCATCTTCGTCCTTCACAAGTACACATAACAACTACACACTGTGAATACTACTCTCCTCTCTCCACTGACTCTGTCCGGAGAGTATCCCGTCCTCTCCGCGAATTGTTGTTTACATTATTCGTTGTTGTTTTCCTATGTTTTTTCAATCCGGTCTTTTCTGGTTCTTCCACAGCGCCGCCCACATTTCCGCGTTTCGGTCATGCAAAATTGTGCCCCCGCTGCAGCGCTGGCCTCGTTCCCGTGCCTCCGGACCGGACGGTACTTGGCATTCGGAAGCGCCGTTTTCGGTCAGGCACGTTCGCGAAGGACATGGAGCGGGAATTCCGCACAGGTCTTGTCCTCTCGTAGACGGGACTCTTACCCTCCAAGTCATCCAGTACCATGCCACGGCGTGCAATGCAATGCCATGCTTCAATACGCAATGCCACGCCATGCTATGACATGCTATGTTCTACCGTGCATTTCTCCGCCCCGTTTTTTCATCCATCGTGTACCCTCTTGGGATCATTGCCCTACTCGACGTTCGACTGTGCGAATAGATAGGATATCTACGCCACGGCGAGGGGTGGGAGGGAGGGGACGTCAGATGTGACGCCAGCGCGCCTAGCTTCTCCCTCGCCGCTCTCCTCCTCCTCCTCCTCCTCCTCCTCCTCCTCCTCCTCCTCCTCCTCCTCCTCCCCCTTCCTCCTCCCTCTTCCCTCCTCCCTCCTCCCTCCTTCCTCCTCCCTCTTTCCTCCTCCTCTCTCCTCCTCCTCCTCCTCCTCCTCCTCCTCCTCCTACTCCTCCTCCTCCTCCTCCTCCTCCCAATTATCCTTATCCTCTCCTCTCCTCCTCCTCCTCCGCAGGAGGTGCAGGGGCACCTTTGGTGTTGTGCTGACTTTGTGACCCAGCTCTTTTATCTTCATGTCCAATGTTCTTCGCCCTTCTGTTTCCCATCATGCACGCACTGGGTTTACAACTTTGAGGTTGAACGGGCCCTGCGTTCCGATTCTTTTTCGGCTCGCGGCCATCCAGACGCGATGGCTCACGAAAGCCAGCGTTGATCCCACGACGGGGAGGATGAAGGAGGAGAGGGGAGCAGAGCAGGAAGAGGAGGAGCAGGAGGAGGGGATTGTCTCGGATGGGGAGGAGGCAGGAGGGAGGCACGCAGTGGGAGGGAACAGAAGGAGGGAGCGGGAGGAGGCAGGGAGGAGGGAGGGAGGGAGTCTCCCTCCCTCCCTCCCTCCTGGATTGAGCGGGAACTGCCGCGCACGAGAGTCAATCTGGAGGGAGGGAGGGAGAGAGGGAGGGAGTGAGGGAGGGGGGAGGGACAAGCTAGGTGCACTCGCGTCATATCTGACATCCTACCCCTCCCTCCCATCCCTTACCATGGCGCAGATCCCCTCTCTACTTGCTCAGTCGGATGTCGAGCAGGGCAATGATCCCGAAAGGGTACGCGATGCATTGTAGAGCACGGCATGGCATGGCGTAGAAGAGCACCGTAAAGCGTAGCATCAATCTAGCATTGCATTGCATGCCGTGGCATGGCACGGGAAATGACGCCAGCGCTGCAGCGGGAGCACGAGTCGAAACGAGCGGAAGCGCGGAAATGAGGCCAGCGCTGCAGCGGGAGCACGATTCAGAACGAGCGGAAGCACGGAAATGAGGCCAGCGCTGCAGCGGGAGCACGATTCGGAACGAGCGGGGCCCGAAAATGAGGCCGGCGCCTCAGCGAGAGCAGCTTTTTGGAACAAACGCATGCGAAAACCCAATTCCGGGGAAACTTGTGTGTAAATAAACAGTACGCGGGGGTGGTCGGCCACTTTCAAACCGTCATCAGGGGAAGAGGGAGAGTGGTATTCATATTGAGTAATTGTGGAGGAGGAGGAGGAGGAGGCGGAGGAGGAGGAGGGTGAGGAGGACGAGAATGCGGAGCAGGAGGAGGAGGAGGAGGAGAAGGGAGGAGAGGGGGAGGAGGAGGAGAGGAGGGAGGGGGAGGAGAGGAGAGGAGGGAGGAGGAGGAGGCCGAGGCGGAGGAGGAGGAGGAGGAGGAGGAGGAGGAGGAGGAGGAGGAGGAGGATAGGAGGCGGAGGAGGAGGAGGAGGAGGGAAGAGGAGGAAAAAGGAGGCGGAGGAGGAGGAGAAGCCTCTCGGGACCCTCTGCTGCTCCGACGGAGGGCCGCGCGGTCCCACCCGCCCCCGCGCGCGCTGCCAGCGCTGCCGCCCGAGCCGCTGCGGCAGCGGCCCCCCGCCGCCCCAGCGGAGGCGCAGGACGCAGGCCGCCCGCCCCCCTGGGCCGGCCCCGGCAGCCACGGGAGATCTTGGGATTGGGCGAGGAGGAGGTGGGGGAGGAGGAGGAGGAGGAGGAGGAGGAGGAGGAGGAGGAGGAGGTGGAGGAGGTGGAGGAGGGGGACGAGGAGGGGGAGGAGGAAGAGGAGGAGGAAGAGGAGGAGGAGGAGGAGGAGGAGGAGGGGGACGAGGGGGGGGAGGAAGAGGGTACGCCTCGCGCTGTGAAAAAATCGCGACGGGACGTGTTGCACCATTTGCGGCCTCCGGGGGCCCCCACCGGGCCTCGGGGGCGTCAGAAAACGACTCAGGATGAAAGTCCGGTCCCGGGGAAGGGGTCCAGACCTCTAGGGGTCGACGTTGTGAAAGAATCACGACGTCGGGGGTCTGGGTAATGGGAGGGTGATCGATGGGCCTGCAGCGAGGGCCCGGGGAGATTGATCTGGGGATTGGGCGACGCAAAGTCCAAGAGAAAATCACCATAAACATAAACATGTGGCGCTCCTCGCGGATTTCTTGGATCCGCGCTGGGGCCTCCAAGGCGGCGCCTCCGGCGCCGCCCCCGGCGCGCTGCGCGCGCCAGGGAGGGGTGCCCAGTGCGGATTCAAGAAATCTACGCGGAGCGCCAAAAGTTTATGTTTATGTTTTTTCTTCTTCCACCGTAATGGGGGGGCGATACATGCGGCCGCGAGGGCGCGAACCCGACCGACCGAGAGCAGGTTGGCGGAGGAGTAGTAGGTCGTCGTTGTCGTCGTCGTCGCCGCCGCCGCTGCCGCCGCCGCAGCCGCGGCCGCCGCCCCCGTCGTCGCCGCCGTCGCCGCCGCCACCGCCGCCGCCGCCGCCGCCGTCGTCGTCGTCGTCGTAGTCGTCGTCGTCGTCGTCGTCCTTCTCTTCGATATGCTGTCGGGCTTGTTTGTTCATGACGTCGACCCCCACATGTCTCGCCCCAATTCCCCAGGAATGGTTTTCATCTTGCGCCGTTTTTTCACGGCCCCGAGGCCCGGTCGTAGCCGATCGTAGCGAAAGACCTTTCGTCCTCATGTTTCCATGATGTGAAGGGGCCCTGGGCTCCCCGCACAACGGCCCCGATCGGGCCGTTTTTTCTGCCATGGCGGGACCTCAGGGGCAGTGCGCAGCCCTCAGGCGAGAGCCGCTTCTTGTCAAGGAGCCGCCCTCCACCTGTGAAGCTCCTGTAGACTTTTCCGGCAGATGCGCGCAGCGCTGAGGCGAGAGCTACATCTTGATGCAATCGGGGGCGGAAAAGAGGGGGGTGATGACTAGGGGGGGGGTGGATATCATGGCGGGGGCCATGATATTTCCCCAGATCTCATGGCGCCTCTTCTTATTTCAATACGTCCCTAGTCCCCCCGCTGGGCCGCGCACGTGCCGCCGTTCATGATTTGCACCCCCCCCTCTTGGACGCCCCCCTCTTTGCCGCCCCCGATCTACATCTTGATTTATGAAGCTCCAACGTGCTTTAGCCTTGACCGCCAGGAAGGACTTCGAATGGACGGGTCTTCACGTGCCGGGCCCGGGGAGGCGATACTCGTTCGACATTGTTTCAATATTTTTCTGGGCGCTCGGAATTATTCCTGGGATGTGGTCCTTAATTTGGGGGACCACATGCGAACCCTACCCCTACCCCCAACGATTTCTGAGGGGGAGGGTGGGGTTCACTTCGTGTTTGGAGCTCCACCCTTCCCCTCAGAAATCGTGGGGGGTAGGGGTACGGTTCGCATGTGGCCCCCTACAATAACGATGGGAGCAACATAAATCTTGATAACGGCCCGGCCTTCATCCGTGAAGCTCTTGCAGGCTATATCGAGACGGGGCACGAGTGCGGCCTGGGAGCACTGGGCGGTTCCCCTGGCCTCCGGAGCCATGGAGCTCTCGACCTCCGCCCCTCCCATGGGGCCATGGGGCTGGCTTCCCGTCTCGGGCCGCCCTCTCTCTATCTCTCTCCTCTCTCTCTCTCTCAGTAGAAGAGGAAGAGGAATACGAAGAAGAAGAAGAAGACGAAGAATAAGAAGAACAATGATAAGGAGAAGACGCGCCATAAACCTAAGATTTCGGCGCTCCGCGCGGATTTCTTGGATCCGCGCTGGGCCCCTCCGGCGGTGCCTCCGGCGCTCCGCGCGCCAGGGAGGAGGGTCCAGCGCGGATCCAAAAAATCCGCGCGGAGCGCCACAAGTTTATGTGTACGGCGCGTTTTCGTCTTCTACTCTCGGGGCCCCACCACGGCTCATGACGACTCCTCCCGCCCGCTCCAGGTCGATGTCGATCTATCCCGATGCCGATCCGCCTCGGCTTCGGGTTCCGACTTGGATTCCGGCTTCTCCGTGGAGGCTTCAAATTCCCAGCCTGCCGGTTTCCGCCGATTCGGCTTGTTCCGACTCGGCTGCCGAGTTCCGCCGATCCGATTCATGCTCCGAGTTGGGGCTCTCCTGCCCCACGGGGCTCGCTCGAGAACCGCCCCCGGCGGGAACGGCCCAGATGGCAAGCAGGCACCCGACGTGATCTCGCGGACTCCAAAGGCCTGGTGCGGACGCTATGGTCCCATCTTTTTTGGCGGCGCGCACATGTGGCTCGAGGTGGGGGGGTCTTCGAAGAAGGCGGGAGGGTTCTCCGAGGCCCCCCTGCTGTCTTAGAGCCCTCCCCAACACCCTCGCCCCCACCCCATCGCCCCCACTTCCTCACACCCACCCCCTCGTCCCCGCCCCCCCGCCCCCACCCCCTTCTTAGAACCCTCCCCCAACAACCTTTTTCCTCCACCCCTCGAACCCCGCACCTCGATCCTCGAACCTCACAACCCCATCCCCCTTCGAGGCCTGGACACCGCCCCCCGGACTTCGACGCTCGAGCCTCGATTCTCGGACCTCGACCACCGGACCTCGAAGCAACCCTCGAACCCTCCTGCCTGAGATCTGGCGTTGCGAACAAGATGCAGCATCGCAAAACATCATGGCAGGGGCTCTATACCCAGACCCCCTCGGATCATGAACAAAAATATGACGTTTTTTTTTTCGTGATTGTCGGCCTCTCGGGACCCTTCCCGGGCCTCGGGACCGTCAACAAAACCGCTCAGGATGAAAAACCGGTCCCGGGGAATAGGTCGAGACCTCTTGGGGTCGAAATTCAAAAGCAAAAAAAACGACGTCGGGGGTCTGGGTAGACCCCATCTTGCTGCGCCATTTCTCGTGCTGGATCGATCTGCGAGAGTCCCGGGGCCCGAAGCTGGGCGGATACGCCCAGTGCGACACAATCGCAACGCCAGTCGGTAGCCTTGAGACGGGGGCCAGTGCAAACGGGGGTCAGCCAGAGCGCCCGATCTTGCAGGATCCGGCAGGGCCAGGGTCGCATTGACCCGGGCTTGGGGTCAGTATCCTGCAGGATCTTACAGGATCCTTCGCACTGACCTGTGTTTGGGTGCAGGATCTTGCAGGATTCTGCAAGGCCTGACTGACCCGAGTCTGGGTTGACCCGGGTTAGAAGATCCACGAGCCAGGATACCACCCTGGCACGCCAGAGTGCCAAGAAACAGCCTCCCAGAACAATGAGACCACGAGGAGCTCAGGTGCCGAGGTGCCGTCGCTCTTACCCCCCCCTGGAAGGTCAGGGCTGGGCCCACAGTCAACCCGCATGGTAAGGATGGGCAACCTCCCGAGGGTGCCCTTGCATCCTTGCCCCTTGGGCCCCATCCTCAGCGACCTTCGCTGGCCACCCTCGTTCGACAAAAACTCGTTCGACAAAAAAGTTAACATGGGCCTCCTCCGAGGCCCTTGGCATCCTTGCCGCGCACCCTCGTGCACACGGGCGCCCCCGCCTCCTGCCCTGCGCCGCGGCGCCGCCCTCCCCGAGGCTACCCCCTGGCGCAGGCCGCCGCGCACGAGCACCCGACCCCCGCCGCTCACGGCCGGCGCCCCCAGCGGCTCGGGCGGGGGGTTCGCGACGCGCGCCCCTCCCCCTCAGCTTCAAGTCGGGCATGTCCCCCTACAGGAGAACAATTTTCAGAATAGCCCAGAAATAGTCTGGGGACGTTTCTCGTCTTATTTTATTCATGTGCGAGCCTTTTTTCTGACTAATTCTAATGTTTCTTCCGAGATCCGCCTGTAGGAGGACATGCCCGACCTAACCTCAGCTCCGAGCGCTGAAACTTGTGCGACTTCTGTTCGCAGCGGGTGTTTTCTCGCCCAGTTTATGTTTGGGGCCCGGGGCCCTTGCTGCTCGATACGACTCGAAACTTGACGCAGAAGGATGGGGCCCAAGGCTCTCCGGTCGTGATTTCTCACGGTGTTACATTTTTGATCGCGCCGTCGGATCTCAGCCTTCCACCCTTACCCTCTTGACTCCGGCTCACTCGTGCCCAATTCTTTTCCTTTTGAGCATTTCCTCCCTGTCGCGCCCTAGGGCCGGTCTACAGGGCGGGCCGGGCTTTTTGCCAAATCTGTCCGAATCCTCTTACGATCCTCAAGCTTTGCAGCAGCTTCACGGATGGAGGGTGGGTCTCTTTCATAAGGTACCCGAGAAAAAAAAACAAGCATAATCTGTTTAGGGATGTGGGACTACCGGGCTGTAGGACCATAAGGCTATATGGATATCGGGCTATAGGAATGTATATATACATGTATAAATATATATGTATATAGAGAGAGCTATAGGGCTATAGGGCTATAGGGCTATAGGGTTATAGGGCTATAGTGCTATAGGACTATCAGGCTATAGGACTACAGGGCTATAGGGCTACAGGGCTTGAAGGCTATGGGGCTACAGGGCAATAGGGCTATAGGGCTACAGGGCTATAAGGAAATGGGGCTACATGGCTATAGGCATGTATAGAGCTATAGGGTTATAGTGCTACAGGGCTATAAGGCTATATGGCTACAGGGCTATAGGGCTATAGGGCTAAAGAGCTGTAGGACTATAGGGCTATAGGGCTATAACGAGGGCTGTAGGGCTGTAGGGCTGTAAGGCTATAGGACTACTGGGCTGTAAGGCTATGGGGCTATAGGGCTATAGGACTATAGGTTGATAGGGCTATAGGGCTGTAAAGCTATAGGGATATAGGGCAATAAGGCTCTATGGCTATAGGGCTACAGGGCTATAGGGCTTTAGGACTACAGGGCTATAGGGCTATAGGCCTATAGGGCTATTTGGCTTGAGGGCTGTAGGGGTATAGGGTTATAGTGCTAGGCTGTAGGGCTATAGGACTATAAGGCTGTAAGGCTATAGGGTTATAGAGCTACCGGGCATCCGGGCACCCAGGCACCCGGGCGTGCGGCCGAAATCGGCGCAGTACCACATTTGACCATATGAATCCGCTCGGACCCCTACAGACACGAGCTCTCTGATTGGGGAATGAATCCGCTAGGACCCCTACAGAGGCAAGCTCTGATTGAGGAAATATGGTTCTCGCATTAGCGCCGCGCACATTCGTTTTTAAAAGTTTGCAGCAGTTTCGCAGATGGAGTGTGGGCGTGTTTCAAAGTGTGGTTCTCGCTTGGGCGGCGCGCGCATTCGTTTTCGAAGTCTGAAGAGTTCCGTTTTCAAAGTCTGAAGAGTTTCACGGATGGAGGGCGGCTCGCTTTGAACATGTGGATATTGTTTCAGCGCCGCGCGCATTCGCTTTAAGAGGTTGTAGCAAATTCCAAGAATCTTATGATTGACGATCCAGCAATGGTGTTTCGGCGCGATGTCGGAATGGCAGTGCGCAACAGTCGCGATGATTCGCGGCGTTGAAGTCCCAGCAATGGTGGTTTGGCACAATTCAGGAGGTTGTCGCAAGGTCGCTGATGAGTCTTAGGTTTGCGCTGGTTCTCCTCCTCCTCCTCCGCCTCCTCGCCTCCTCCTCCTTTTCTCTCCCTCTGCAGCGTCCCGGACTTGCGCGATCCCCTCGGCCTGGGTCGAGGGCTCGCGGCCAGCGGTCGCCCTCCCAATCGCGGGGCCGCTCCCGAGGGCCCCGGCGGCGTGCACGGGGGTCGGGTCGGCCGAGGGGGGGCCCAGACGCCGTCGAGTCGTTAGCGCGATTGTGGCGGGATGCCTTCTGCGAGGTTCGGCCTCGGGGCCCTTGCACCGGGCCCTGGGGCCTCCAGACACGGGCTTGGGCGGAGGGGCGGGTCCTCGGGAAGGGGGCGAGACCTCCGTGGGTCCGCGCTGCGCGCAGAAAGAGTGGCGACGTCCAGGGCTCGTCATCGGGGAGGGGGGGGGCGAGGAGAAGTGTGGCGGGACGGGGGGGGGGAGGGACGAGAAGAGGGGAAGTGACGGGGTGGAGGGAGGCGGGCGGGAGGAAGGGGAGGCATGGGCTCCGACCAGCCGGCCCCCGCGCGGCGACGGCGGCGGCGTCAAGGGCGGCGTTGGAGGCGGCGGCGGCGGCGGCGGCGACAGCGGCGCGGGACTCATGCCGAGGCCAGGAGGTCGCGCACCTCCACGCCCTGGCGCAGGCCCCAGCGGGGGTGGACCAGGAGGATGCGAGGCGTTGAGGCTCCGGCTTGCATCCCGGCAGCCCTCCCAGGCAGTCCCTGCTGGTCTCATCACCGAGCGCGCCCCATGACTCGCAGAGTGCCTACTCGCAAACGTCGGAAAAACACCTGTCTGCTTTGATGCATCCTTTCTTCGATGCCCCGCGGCGGCTCCAGGCCATTTGCGAGCAGTCGCTTCGCGAGCAGTGCCACGCGCTCGTCTATCTCCACAGGCCCCCCGAGCGGCGTCGGGGCACCGTCAGCAGCATGGCGCCACCTCGGGCGGCGCCACCTCTGGGCCTCGGCGCCCCAGGGCGCAGGCCGGGATCACTCTGCCTCGGGGGGGGGCGGCCGTGGAGGCCAGCCGGGGCTGCCTGGGGAGGGCGCCCGTGCGGAACCCGCAGCGTTACCGGGGAGAGGAAGACGGGGGAAGTTATGTAAGAGCAGCGACGACGAACCCGAAAGCCACGACGAGCACGCGCTCAGCGTCGGGGTCCTGCTCCCCTCCTCCCCCCCCCCCCGCTCCCTCTGCCTCGGGGCGCGGCCACGCAGGTTTTGTTGCCCAGCGGCGGGCGCGGGAGCCCGCGGAGCAAGTGCCCCCAAGCGTCCTTTGCGGCGCGACGGACTGTGAGGGGTCCACCCCCCGTGGCGTCGCCGCCTCAAGAGGCCGCGTGCCCAGGCCCACAGCAGGCTGCGGCGGCAGCTGGCCACATCACGGACGTCAGCCGCCCGAGTTTCACCTGAGCGGAGATGGACGGACGCGGTTTTGCACGTTTTGGTGGCATGAGGCGAGCGGTGGACGCTCGGTCAAGAAGGCCACGCGTGAGACATGTTGGACATTGCAAACGCAGCAAGGCAGATTGTTCCCATAGCTACAACAACAAGCTGGCCTCTCCAACCATTCGTGCGCGTGCCAAACAACATGGAGCAGCAACCAAACCATGGGAGATGTCATCTCAGCTGCGACAGGCTCAGGCTCACATCGAGAAACTGGAGGTGACCATTACCATGGCCAGAATCATCAGGCGCAGGCTGTGTCTGATGATTCTTTGCAGCTGGGTGATGATGACGATGGGCACGACGAAGATGGAGCCTCCTTTCTCGAATGCAAAGCATGGCCACGTATACATGAATTGAACAAGTACCTCGAGTTGGCCAGCATGGGAACCGATGCTCATTGGAATGCCTTGCGGACGGCGCCACGAGCAGAACGTGAGCAGATGCAGCTGCAAGTCAACGCTCATAAAACATTCGCGGCACACATGTTCGCAGTGAGTGGGCAGATGGCGGTTGAGTTTCAGCGTATTGGCAGAATAAAGGCGGACATAAACAAACAACACAGCACATCGATGAGCTGGTTGAGACGCCGGCCCATGCCAGGGAGGCTCTGCAGCAAAGGGAAAGCCAGGTGCAGGAGATGCGTAACAAACAGCTTGAGATGGCGCAGGAGAAGCAGTAGATCAGATGACAGATGGGGTGGCGAAACAGCTACCGAGCATCATCAAGAACGCTGAAGTCACCGCGCTGGGTTGTGAGTCTCAGCCGTCCACCGCTCGTGCCAGGCAGCAGGTGGGCAACATTATCAGGCAACCGCGCCTGTTCCTCAGCTTTCTACTCCGCCGGCGCCAGCGTCCTCAGTCAAGGATGCTGGCTTTCTCATTTGTTTCTCAATCATATTTCCCAAGTGGGTGTGGCTTGACCTGAGGAAGCGGACGAGGAGGAGGCGCGGCAGGACGCAAACTAGTTGATCCAATGGGCGGCGCAGACCAGACCAATGGGCGCGGAACATTCTGGTGGTATTGATTCCGCGTGCAAGTATGATGCCGAGATTGACCAATAATGTAGTTCAGCCGCTCCAGTGTCGAGATCAAGCCGACCTGGGCGGGAACGCCGCGGCCCAAGGAGAATGCCGGGCCCAAGACCACACCAGGTAGGACAAAACCCGCTGCGACCCCGAGAGAGGCCCCAGAAGCCACTCGAGCGGCAGGCGGGAGAACCTTGCCAAGTGAATCGGCTGGAGGGGTCTTGGCGAGCACGCTCACAGCATTGAGCGCGGTTGCTCCTGTCTCTGTGACGGCGGCTTCAGGGATTGATTCAACCTCGGCAAGAGTAGGTTCGCATATCCGCACGCTGATATTTAGGCAATAGTTTCACACGCAGGGTCGTCCGCACACTTGCGGCAATCGAAGAGGAAGTTCAGTGACGTTCTCGGCGCATGAACATAATCCACAGGCTGAACTAGCGCACCATCAGGTGAGCACGCTACTTCCATACTCTTGGGCATGTGGAGCCGTTTAGACACGGTACTTTCCCAAGCCAGAACAGACGAGGCGAGACCGCGAGAGTGCCCGCTGCGATGGCGGTGGTTGCTTCTTGAACCTCATGGGCAGCCCAGAGCAGTCGAAGCTGCTGGATGTTTCAGCATGCCCTTACGTGCGCAGCAGGGTCTACTGGCCGGGTGCACGCACGCCGCCGCGTTGTTTGCCATGGTCGCGGATCGTGCGATCGCACGCGTGCGCAGCTGGGGTCCGGATGCCATGCGTCGCGCGCTCGCAGGCGACAGCACCTTTGAATGGAGTGGCACCTGCGCCAGTGACGCCGCCGGCTTGTGTGGCGCCGTGCACATGTTTGCGCTGGATGTCAAGGAACTCGGCATAACCGTCAACTATAGCTCGCCAGCGCCAGGAGGGCGATTGCCGGAGCGAAATGGCAAGGCTGATCGACCTCTACCCGCTTCGAAGACATGATTTCGAAATATCGGACACTTCGTGCCAGGTTCGACCAGTTCGCAAACAAGCCGCCGCTCGGGGCTTCGATACCGATTGCCACTGTTACGAATTGCGCTCCGTGGAGCAGGATCGACGGTAGCAGCTCTGCGGTCTGCTGGCCTGCGTCCTTCGGTCGGGCACGGAGCGGCCGCGGCTGTCGCGACTCCCGCGGGGCTTGCAGGCGCGAGACAGGTCGCTGGCACGTTGTGCGGGGAGTCCTCGGACAGCGCCCCCTTCGCCCTCCATGTCGCCCCCCGAAATGACAGGATGCGCGGCACCATGTGCCACGCAGCGACGGCCCTCCAGGACCTGCGCCGGCGTCGCGTGGGACCAGCGCGTTTCGTTTGGCGGGCGTCGACGGGCCTGGCAGGCCTTCATGACCGAGAGTCAGGAGAAAACGCATTGGGCCGGAGTTCGCGGGCCTCTTGAATTACGACGGCCCGTTTAGGATTGTCTTGGTTGGAGCATGCTGTCTAGTCGTGGACGGTTGATCTTTTGCAACCACCGCCAAAGTGCTCGCGTGAGTTGGAGCGCTGAGGCGTTGAGAGATGGCGGGTAAGGAGAATCCTGGAGCACCATCTAGATGTCTGTTATGGCATCGAAGAGGCATGGCTCCGAGTCCTGCGCAAGTGCTTGGGCGGGCCCAACGCTGCCGCCACGCATTCGCGCTTCGCAGGTGCTCCTGGCACGCTGCGGGCTGGAGGTGTCCGGGCTCGAGGCCCGCGGCATCGCGTAGGATGTGAGATCCCTGCTGCGCGCCTCTGGCGTGAAGCTGCGGGCTCGCGCCGGGCCCGCGAATGGTTTGGCTGCGTTTGTTGATGCGGCGACAGGAATGATGACGACCTACTGCGGGGTCCCCTGTTGAATCGCGCGCGTGAGCACGCGCGTGAAAGAGGGTGCCAGAGGCTGGCTGGCCAAGACCGGGACACGTTCGACACTTGCGCATGCGCTCCGCTATGTCTCCAATTCCACCCCAAGATTTTTCCGGGGCCCGGGGCGAAGCTTCGGGGCGAGTGGAGCTCGGGCGAAACCGGGCGGTCCCCCCTCGCCCGCGCTGATGGGCTGGGTCGGCCCCGCCTTCGCCCGAGCTGACGCGCTTTCGATGGTGGCTTTGCCAGCCGGGCGATCGCGGCCTGCCTCTTCGCGCTGCGCGTTGACCCCTTGAAGGCCCCATCCAAACAGTTGGAAGATCAAGGGGCGGGGCGAAGATCATTCCGGCGCCGAAGTGCAGCATGCAGACATGCGGTGAACGCCCAGCACACGCGCGAGTCTTACCATGTGAATGCTAGGGCGAACAGGTCTGCCAATGGGGGCGCCGAGTCGCGAGCTGGCGGGCGCGCTGGCTGAGTACCATGAAGGTCACTTGCCCGACGCTCGGCGTCAGGCGCGCGCCACGTCGCGTCGCGCGCGTCGCGCGACGCATCGAGGTGCAGCGAGCGACCGCCCCGCCCACGCGTGCGCTGAGAGCCCGCCCCCCCCGGGCCAGGGGCCCTCGCCGCTCGCTGCGTGGCCCTCTTAGGCCCCGATAGTTACCTTTGCAAATCTTGCCTTTCCCAGGCCGGGGCCCCCGCCAGCGCGACAAAGCCGCTCCGGTGGCCCGGCCAGCCTCCGGCCCAACCGAGGCCCGGGGCTCGGGCGGATGTGAAGTTGCAATGGGCCCCGCCCTTGCTCGCGGCAGTGGTGGGGGCGGCTTGAGGCTGCTAGCGTTCTTGCGCCAGAATCTAAAGTGGCTGGCGCTGAGGCGGATTCGTCTGCGAGGGGGAGTTGGCGCCAGCTGAAGCTATCGTCGAGCTCGATGAGCGCCAAGCTTTTGGGACCCCCACGGAGATTGTCTGTTCTATATGTGGCTCGTGCCAGGCGACCCAGGGTAGGGTGGCCAAGTGCAGGCTGGAGGGCCAGTGTTCAGGCCTTTTTGATCATGGCCCACCAGCTACAGGCATAATCATGACAAAGTCGCCGTCAGGGTGGGGTGGCATCCAAAGTCGGGCAAGCCCCTTACGGGTTGATCGTTTTGTATTATACACGCTTCGCGTCCCACCGCCCCGCTTGGTCTTCCAGGTTAATTGACCCATGAAAAGGCTAATGTTCCCTTCCGTCGCCTTTGCGACTCGGTCAGCCTGGTTGCCTTTTTCTTTCTGCCTCAGGCCAACGTGCATGTGACTTGCCAGTGGAATGCAAAGACTTCCCCCTAGCGTTTCCCATATGTTGGGATGCATTGTGCTTCGAAAGCATTGGGACGTCAACTCATGTAGCATTTGCTCGTTCGTTAGTTCATGGTGGCTCCCCGGCTGCTGCCGCGCGACATCCGTCTATATGAACGGCCAATGGGATCATCAGGGGAATGCGCCCAATACGCATTGATACATCCGCGTCTGCCTCATGTTTGCGTTCCTCGTCCGCTTTCCTCCTCCTCCTCCTCCTCCTCCTCCTCCTCCTCCTCCTCCTCCTCCTCCTCCCCCTCCCTGCTCATTCTCCTCGTTCGTCCGCGGGTTGAGCTCGTTTGGGTGGGCCAGGCGATAGCGGTCCGGCATAACAGCATTGGCCGTGTTGCCAGAATTGTTTCTCCGTGTCGCTACGTCGTTGTGCCGTCCGATCCGTTTCCACCCCCCAAATTGCATTGGAAAGCTCAGTATGGATCCCGAACAGTGATTGTTTGCATTGTGGGGGTGTTGTAGGTTATGTGGCGTGAAGCTATGTCGGGTAGGGTCGGTGGTGTTACCTATGGCAGTGAACGCTACGCGTTGTATATGTGATAATAATGCCGTGCAGTACGCGTCGTGTGGGTTGGAAATGAAGGATGTGCGGTGCAAGCTGCGTGGTGAAAGCAATGCCGTGGGAGTTTTGTGGCGTAAGCTATGGGGTGTCGGCTCGGCGCACGGGGCGTTCACGAGGCGGGGCGGCGGCAACGTGGCGCGACCTCGGCGGACCCACCCTGCGCAGGGGGAGCCCGCGAGGCGCCCGCGGGAGGGCAACGCGGCGCAATCTCGGCGGACCCACCCTGCGCACGGGGAGCCAATCATACGCCCGCGGGCGGACCGCGCGGTGCAATCTCGGCCGACCCACCCAGCGCAGTGGGAACCCACGGGCACCCACGATGAGGCACGGCGGCAGCGCGCCGCAACCCCGGCGGGCCCACCCACAGCGCACGGGGCGCCCACGAGGCGGCACGGGCGGCGACGTGGCGCAGCTGCTGTGGACCCACACAGCGCACGGGGCGCCCGGAAGCGCGGCGGGCCCCCCTCTAACGCGGTGGGCGGCAACGGGGCCCCCACGGGCGGCAACGCGGCGAAACTTCGGCGGACCCCCCCCAAACGCGGTGGGCGGCAAGGACGTGCCCACGGGAACCAACCTGGCGAAACTTCTGCGGACTTCCCTAGCGCGGTGGGTGCCAACGAGGCGCTCACGGGCGGCCGCGTGGCGAAATTTCGGCGGACTTCCGAAGCGCGGTGGGCGCCCACGAGGCGCCCATGGGCCGCAGCGCGGCGCAACCTCGGCAAACCCCCCGACTTGCCCTGGGCGCCCACGGGCGGCCGGGCGGCAATGTGGCGATACGTCGGCGGCCGCCCCCAAGCGCGGTGAGCACCCTCGAAGCGATCACGGGCAGCGGCGTGGCGAAATGTCGGTGGGCCACCCCCGAGCGCGGTGGGCGGCAACGCGGTGCTCACGGGCGCCATTGCGGCACAACCCTGGCGGGCCCCCCCCAGCTCGGTGGGCGGCAGCGCAGCCAAACCCCGGCGGGCCCCCCCAAGCGCGGTGGCCGGCAAAGAGGCGCTCACGGGCGGCAGCGCTGCGAAACCTCGGCGGCCCCACCAAACGCGGTGAGCGGCAACGAGATTCTCACGGGGCGAGGAGGAATGCTAGAGTTATCCCAGGATGCATCAGCGATGTTGCAAAGGGCTTTCCCGCTCACACTCCCCTTAAACAAAAAATTGTTCCCGCAAGCATATGTTCCTCTACGGGCGCAGCTTTCTTGAAGGACGATACCCCACTGGGCATATCGTTTGAGCGAGAGCCACCGCTTTGAAAATAAGCCCCCCTTTTCCTGGCTGGCCGAAGCTTCTTGATGCAGGATTCGAAAGATCGTCAAACCGAGGGCCCTGTTATGAAAACATGCCGCAGCACCTCCGAGTAACGGATGCGGTGTTTTCTCATTCATGACCATCAAAGTTGAGAAAGGCTGCAAGCGGGAGCCCCAGTCAACACAAAGACAACACATCAATGCACATGCTGCGCTTGTTCAATATATGAACACAGATCCAATTGGTGTTTCAAGCAAGATCCCAATCTTGCAAAGGATTTGCCCTCCATCCGTGCAGTTGGTCCCGCAATGTCAAGCATGTTGACCTGGAGGAAGACCCCGAGCCACAGCCCAAGTTTGGAGGTCAGATGTGTGGAGACAGGAGCCCGAGGAAGTCCAAGCCATGGACCAATGTTGGGAAGGGCCCCCCTCCATCTGTGCAGCTATTAGATCTGCTTGACACGACTGCGCGCGTCGCTGAGGTGATGGCCACATTTGGAGCATGATACGCTACTCATCCGTGAACAGTGGGGACGTTCCAAGCGTCAGGACTTAGGACGTTGGATGTTTCAAGTTTCGGTTCTGAGGAGGCAGGAGGGAGGAGGATGATGATGATGATGATGATGATGATGATGATGATGATGATGATGATGATGATGATGATGATGATGATGATGATAATGAGGAGGAGGAGGAGGAGGAGGAGGAGGAGGAGGGAGATGAGGAGGAGGAGCAGGAAGAGGAGGAGGAGAAGGAGGAGGAGAAGGAGGGGGAGAAGGAGGAGGAGGAGGAACAAAAAGCAGGAGTTGGAGGGGGAGGAAGGAGGGGGATCGGAGGAGGAGGGGGAGGAGGAGGAGAAGGAGGAGGAGGAGGAGGAGCAGGACCCAGGCGAAACGCCCAGGTCGCCACACCGACTCGTAGGGCGGTGCGTCGAGGAGGGGCTCTTCTGGTCAAGCAGCTGGACTCGAGCCCCGACCTCACGGGCCGCAGCGGCCTTCGGCCCCCCTCCTGCGCGCCCGCCCCCCGGCAGGACCCGATGGGAAGTGCGGCGGCGCCGCCGCCGGGCGCCACGCCGGGGGCAACCCCAGGCGAGACGCAACGTGCGGGAGGGAGAGTGAGAGATGTGTGTCGTAGTCCTCGCCTTCCTCTTCCAGGAGGCCAACAGGGAGGAGGAGGAGGCGGAGCAGGAGGAGGAGGAGGAGGAGGAGGAGGAGGAGGAGAACGAGGAGGGAGGAGGAGGAGGAGGAGGAGGAGGAGGAGGAGGAGGATCAGGAAGACGTAGAAGGGGGAGCAGGGGAAGGAGGAGAAGGAGGAGGAGGAGGAGGAGGAGGTGGAGAAGGAGGAGGGGGACGTACGCAGCAGGGGGAGCAGGGGGAGGGCGAGAAGGACGGATGTGGAAAGAGTGAGGAGGAGGGAAGAGGGACGGAGGAGACGGATAGGGATGCGGTGTCAATGGGGTAGGAGAGGCAGGATGTTCCAGGAGGGGTGGGAGCGATTGATAATGCTGATGATGCTGATGCTGATGATGATGATGATGGTGGTGGTGGTGGTGATGATGATGATTGTGATGCTGATGGTTGTGATGATGGTGATTGATGATTGTGATGGAGATGGAGATTGTGGTGATGGTTGTGATGGTGATGGTGGTGATGGTGGTGATGATGATGATGCTGCTGGGGATGATGATGGTGATGATGATGATGATGATGATGATGGTGATGATGATGATGATGGTAATGGTGATGATGATTAAGATGCTGATTATATGTATTTCACTGCTGATAATGATGATGACGCTGTTAATGATGTTGATGCGAATGATGCTAATGATTATGCTCATAATGATGAAGGCGATTGCGGTTGTGACGATGTTGTTGATGATGATGCTGATGGTGTTGTTGCTGCTTCTGATGCTAATGATGCCGATGCGGATGCTGATGCTGATCACGATGCGGGTGCTGTTGCCGTTACTGCTTCTGCTGATGATGATGACGATGGCGATCATGATGTTGATGATAATGGCCATAATGATGCTGAAGTTGATGATGATGGTGGTGATGATGATGATGATGATGGTGGTGTTGATGACGATGCTGATGATGATGATGGTGATGGTGATGGTGATGGTGAGGGTGATGAGGAGGAGGATGATGATGGTGGTAATGGCGATGATGATGATGCTGATGATGGTGATGATGATGGTGGTGGTGATGATGATGGTGATGGTGATAGTTACGATGATGATGATGATGATGATGCTGACGCTGGCGCTGATGATGCTGATGATGATGATAATGATGATGACGACGATGAGCATGATGACGATGATGGTAATGATGGTGGTGGTGGTGTTGGTGGTGATGATAATGACAATTTCGATGGTGATGATTATGTTGATGCTGTTGATGATGGTAATGATTATGTTCATGATGGTGCTGACTATTATGATGGTGCTAATGATGATGATGCTGATGATGACGATGGGGATGACGATGACGATGACGATGATAATGCTGATGATGATGATGGTGATGATGATGAAGACGACGACGATGCTTTGTTTTATCCAGTTGATGATGGTGATGCTGACCGTGTTCATGATGATGCTGAGTATGCCGATGGTGCTAATGATGATGCTGATGATGATGCTGATGATGATGACGACGATGATACTGATGGTGATGATGGTGATAATGGTCATGCTGCTGCTGATGATGGTGATGGTGATGGTGATGACAATGACGATGATGATGCTGATGCTGATGCTGATGCTGATGCTGATGCTGATGCTGATGCTGATGATGATGATGATGATGATGATGATGATGATGATGATGATGATGATGATGATGATGATGATATTGATGCCGATGATGATGTTGCTGATGGTGATGGTGATGATGATGCTCATGACGACGACGACGACGATTGCAGTTTTGATTATGTTGATGATGGTCATGATGATCATGTTCATGATGATGCTGAGTATGCCCAGTGCTGAGGCAGGGCCCTGGGGGGAACGCAGTGCCGCCCGCTTGCCCGGCCTGTACGGCGCCTCCCTCTGGGCACGGGCCAGGGAGGGGCGGCCGGGGGCCAGGTGGCACGGACGAGCATGCAGGCGTCTCTTTCCTGGGGCGCTGGCCCGCCGACCCCGACTGCGTTGGGCCTCAGACACCTCGGGGTGGTGGCGCTCGCGTCGGGGCGGTCTCGGCCCCGAGGGGTCCTTCACATTTTGAGAAGTCCTATGAGCAGTTCCTCCTCCTCCTCCTCCTCCTCCTCTCCTCCTCCTCCTCCTCCTCCTCCTCCTCCTCCTCCTCCTCCTCCTCCTCCTCTCCTCTCCTACTCCCCTCCTCCTCCTCCTCCTCCTCCTCCTCCTCCTCCTCCTCCTCCTCCTCCTCCTCCTCCCTCCCATCCCTTTCCCTCTCCTCCCTCCTCCCTCCTCCCTCCTCCCTTCTTCCTCCTCCCTCTCCCTCTCCCTCCCCCCCCCCCGCAGTCGCTTCCAAGCCCTCCCTGGACCGTGGCCCTTTCGCGAAAAGCACCTGCGTCCGAAGCTTCCGCATGCCCGCTCCACGGGAACACATTGGTATGTTCCCCCCCTCCCCTCCTCACCCCCTCCCGCCCGCGATGCCCGCCTTCTGGACGCCGGACCCCGCCGCACCAGGGGCCGCCTCCGCGCTTGAGCCCGCGGCGGCCGCGGAGCCAGAGGCAGTGGTGCGCCCCGCGCGCGGCCTCCGCGCGTGCTTTTGTTGGGCGGCAGGGAGGGCGGGAGGGAGGGAGGCAGGTAGGGAGGGACGGAGGGAGGGAGGGAGGGAGGGAGGGAGGGCGGGAGGAGGAGGAGGCGGAGGAGGAGGAGGAGGAGGACGACGACGGAGGAGGAAGGGATGATGAGGGGAGGAGGAGGAGAGGGAGGGACGAAGGGAGGGAGGAGGATGAGGAGGGACGAGGGAGGGCGGTGGAGGGAGGGAGGGAGGGAGGAATGGAGGGAATGGAGGAAGGGATGGGAGGAGGAGGAGGAGGAGAAGGAGAAGGAGGACGACGACGAGGAGCAGAAGGAGGATGAGGAGGAGGAGGAGGAGGAGGAGGAGGAGGAGGAGGATATGAAGGAGGAGGAGGAGGAGGAGGAGGAGGCGGAGCAGGAGGAGGAGGACGAGGAGGAGGAGGAGGAGGAGGAGGAGGAGGAAGGAGGATGAGGAGGGAGGGAGGGAGGGAGGGTAGGAATGGAGGTGGAGCAGCAGGAGGAGGGCGAGGAAGCGGAGCAGTGGGAGGTTAAATTCAGCATCCGCGTTGGTACTCAGAAGAGGACAAGGTACCCATACCTCTACCCTTTTCTCGTTTTCCCCTTTTGGGCCTCCTCGGAGGCCCACGTCGCCACCGCTGGATTCGCCTCGAGATTCTGGTCAGAACGCACTCCGGGAGAAGTCCGGGGAGTAGCGATATCGGTTCCTATTGGTTCCAGCAGGTATATCCTTTGTCGATAAGGTGTAATCTTACTCTGGGTCCCGCTCAATTCCGCCCAGTCCCGCCGAGCTCGTGGCTCCCAGCTGGGCCACTCCGGCCCAGTGCTCCCCGATGCCCGGGCTCGATGGCCCATGCCTCCCAGGACAGGAGGTGCCTCCTGAGGCCTCGATGGGCGGCTAAGAGGGGGTCGGATGAAGCGTTCCACAGCGTTCCAGAACTTTTTCGCAGCGTTCCAGAGCGCTCTGCAACGGCCGCGGCGCCAGATGCATTTGGACGGGGCTGGGACGAGGATCAATCCGTTCCAGAGCGTTCCGGGACGCGCTCAGAACATTCCGGAACGCTCTGAGAAGGCCGCGGCGCCAGAGACATCCTCAGAGCCGCCAGATTTCAGAGATCCCCGATTGATCCTGGTCCGATTTGTTGTGCCCGTGACGGATTCGTGCCGCAGATACGGCTGACGATTGTGCCCCATCGGCCCAAGCCCGCGGTCGTTTGCGCAGGCTGAGCCTTGGATGTACCCAGATGTTCAAGTCCGCTGGCGCCAGTTGAGGAAGACAACGGAGCCGTCTTGGCGGACTTTGGCGCGTAAGTTGCCCGCGTAAGGTCGCGCGAAACCTCCCTCGCTTCCAAAGTAGCGTTCCACGCTGGCGGTCTGCGTAAGCCAACACGTAAGGTCGCTACGTCATCTCGCGTAAGGCCCGTTTTTTTGTCGCTCAGGCGGTGCAAGACGGTCGGGCGCCGGTCAAAGCAAGCGGTGGGGTGCACCAGAGGCGAACTGAGGCACGAAAGAGACAGAGGAAAGGGCGCGAGAAGAGACAGAGGGAGGAGGGAGGAGGGAGGAGGGAGGAGGGAGGATGAGAAGGGGCCCGATCAGACAGTGTTGGCCGGCGCGGGGATGGCGAGGGAGAGCATGCGGGCTGCGTCCAAGCAGCAAGGCCCCAGTTTGAGGTGGGATGCACCCAGACTTACGTCGGGCGTGTCCCTCTATAGGAGTAATATTCTAAAATAGTCAAGACATTGTATGTGGACGATGTTGTTGTACCATGTTCGAACATTGTCTGATTTTTGTTTGGCTATTTTGATTTTGTCTTATAAAATCCGCTTGCAGGGGGACATGCCCGACCTAAACCCAGACGTGCGATGTCTTGATTTTTTCTGCATGGGGTCCCCGGAAGTCCCGACCCTTGCCCCAGTTGAGCGTTGCTTGATCAGAGGGGGCGAGAATTGGCGGAGTGGAGAAAGGTACGCACACGTTTTGCCTTCTGTGCTCTTTAGGCGGGGGGGTCCTGGGGCCCGAGAGGGCACGTTTCTTCGCCCCGCCACCTGTCGCCCCCCCATGAAGCACCGCCCAGCCCTGGGGCTGGTTCTTCATCTCGCGAGTCGTTCCTTGAGGGCCCCTCGAGTTCTGGCGAGGACCCTCAGAGGCCGAGAACGGTCGAACATCTTTCGTCGTGTCTTTGTCGGAACGCGGGCACGTCAGGGGCAACGCCTCTGAGGGGCAGCGATAAGGGGGGGGGGGCGATAGGCTTCAGGCGGGCGTGTCCCTCTACAGGGGGGTATATTCAAAAATAGACAACAAGATAATCAGGGGACGATTTTTTGACTATTGGAGAGGCCTGACGGCTGGTGCCGCCGACCCTGATCGAAAGGGCTAGGAGGGGGGGGAGGAAGCGGAGGATGAGGAGGAGGAGGAGGAGGAGCAGGAGGAGGAGGAGGAGGAGGAGGAGGAGGAGGAGGAATCAGGGGACGATGTTTTGACTATTTGTTGCACATCGTGTCTAAACGATTCTTCCAAAAAATCCGCCTGCGGCGAGCCATGCCCGACCCAGCGATAGGCCGAGGGTTGGACGCATTGGCCCCCCCCCCCCGACCGCAGGGGCCTGGCAGCCCACCCCCCGCCCAGGGCCGTGCGGCTTCGCCGTCGGGGGCCCGCCGCCGATTCATCGGCGAGGCATCGCCCACTCCAGCTCGGTGTTTATCCTCCCCCCCTCCTCCTCCTCCTCCTCCTCCTCCTCCTCCTCCTCCTCCTCCTCCTCCGCCTCCTCCTCCCCCTCCTCCTCCTCCTCCTCCCCCTCCTCCTCCTCCACCTGCGGCGCCTGCTGCTCCCTCTCCAGCCCGGTCTGGGCTGGGAGGCCCTTCTGGTCGGGTCGGGCTGGGGGCGTGGCTGCACAAGGTGGGCCCAGAGCCGGGCCACAAGCACCGATAGCGATCTCCGTCTGCGCTCTGAGCACGGAGAGGCGACAGCCGTCCCTCCTCGTCGTCGTCGTCCTGGTCGTCGTCGTCGTCGTCGACGACGTTTCCCCGTCTAAGCTGCGCTGCCACGCGGCCCTCGGCGGCCAAGGAGAGATCCCGCGCTCGCGAAGCCTGTTTCCTCCAGGGGCGGCCCCAACCGACCCCAGAATGTCCAGCCCCCAGCCCCTTTTATGACGTCCCCCTCGCCTCCCCCTCGCCTTGCCCCCGCTGCTGGAGGGAAGCTAGAATCGGCGGCGAGCGAGAGGGGGGAGTTGAGAAGGAGAGGGCCTCCTCGGAAGGCGGTGGGACTTCTCAGGGGCCCTCAGGCCTTCTCAGAAGTGCTCCGCGTCCTCGGGGAAGTTCGGATGCAACTCCTGGGAGGTCAAATTCTGATTTTGCCCTGGTCCGAAGTCCGGCTTCATCCGGCTTGATCCCGCTTAATCCCGCTTAATCCGGCTCAATCCCGCTCAGTCCGAAGCCCACTCTGGCGCAACAGCCCCGCAACGGGGCTCCATCCTCCATCATCTTTCCGAAGAAGACCTCCCAGCAGCTGCCTCCTAGTTCTCGGAAGTGGTCCGCGTCCTCGGGGGAGGCTCCGAGAACTCCTCGGCAGGCCGGGAGACTTCCCGAGCCTGCCGAGGAGGCCCGCCCCTGCTCCCTGCTTGTCCCCTGGGTGCGCCGCCGGCCCTCGCCTCGCCCGGGGCCGCCAGGGGGAAGCGTGAGAGCTGATCGGCGATCGGCTACGCGTGAGAGTGACCTTTCGCCGGAGTGACCTTTTGGTGCGGACGCACGCTGGGGTCGGCGATTCTACTGCAGGATGTCCATCGAGAAAGCCAGCCGAGATCTTCGGAAAAGCATCAGCAGGAAACTCAACCTCCCCCAATCTCTTCAAAACAGCTCTCAACCAAACTTGCGGAAATCTCAAACCTGAAAAACTTCAAAATCCCAAACCTAACATTTCAAGCAACTTCAAAGAACAGCCAGTGACTGGGGTCCCCCGATGGCTGAATGCCGTGCGATAGCAGCGGCCTGCGCGCTCCGATTCGGCCTCCCCGCGGCCCCCCGAAAGCCGCGCACCAGAGGTTGCTCCTGCCCAGGGTCACCCCTACGCGTAGCCCAGGCGAGGGTGGCGTCACGGAAGGCGATGGCCTGCTGGGTAAGCAGGACGAAAGCTATTCTTCTTGAGATGACGATGGAGATAAAGGTGCTCGCGAGAGAACATCGGCGCCGCCGAACGGACGGCGTCTGGACCTGTGCAGAGACAGGGAGGGGAGGGTTGTATGTATGTTGAGAAGGGGCCCGCGCGCGCGGAGAGTTGATTGGTGTGCGCGAGACAGCGCGCGACCCATCCAAGGACGTTGAAAGCCGAACCCCCCTTCCGCCGTAGAATCTTAACACGGGCGAGCTTGGGGTCCGTTGCTCCGAGTACGGCCAGCTCCCTGATTTACGAGTACGAGTTTTAAACCAGGTAGCAATCAGATCCGCCGTAAAACATGGGACGGGATGCGGGGCCTGAGAAACCGAAATCGCATGCGCGCGCACAGAGATCGGATCCACCGCAACGCACATCGAAACCACAAGCGGATCCGCGCAAGCTTAATCGGATCCGCCGCCGTTTTTTTTTTGATACCTTTCCGTGCCTGACTTGACACCGTTTTCTTCCAGTCCAACAGGAAACGGCTTTCGTCCTGGGGATGGGCGTTTCGGCGTTCAACTGGCTCTTGCCCCCCTCAATCCCCCGCGCCGTCTCATCAGAGGTTCCCGTTTGAGGCTTCCTCGCAGATCGCCGCTCCATCGAGGTCCACGTCTTGAAGCAGATGCGCTCCCCCCTCCGCGTGCTCGCTCGGCGGCGGGCTCCGCGCGGGTGACCCTGACGTGGGGCGGCCAGGAGGTGCGACGATGGAACCCACGCCGAGCGCGAGCCTCCGCCTGATCGCGTAGGATAGCGCAGAGGCCGTCCGTTGGGTGAGTGGACGCAGGGCCGAAACGCACGCACGACGGACGAAACATCTTCTTCCTGACGCGAAGACGGCGGTGAGGAGCCTCGAGGGGGCAACATCGGCGCCGCCGAACGGACGGCGTCTGGACCAGCTCCGTGCAGCAACAGGGAGGGGAGGCATGTATGTATGTATGTATGTATGCATGTATGTATGTATGTATGTATGTATGTATGTATGTATGTATGTATGTATGTATGTATGTATGTATGTGTATAGATGTGTATGTCTGTGTGTGTGTGTGTGTGTTGCGTGGGGCCCGCGCGCGCGGAGAGTTGATGGGAGTGCGCGAGACAGCGTGCGACCCACCCAAAGAAGTTGGTAGCGGACCCCCCCTTCCCCCGTAGAATCTTAACACGGGTTGGCTTGGTACCCGTTGCTTCGATTACGGTCGGCTCCCTGCTCTAATAGAACGAGGCTGGAACAGGGTAGCCATCGGATCCGCGGTAAAAGATGGGACTGGATGCAGAGCCCGAGGAAACCGACACCGGATCCGCGCACACAGAAATCGGATTCGCGCACACAGACATCGGATACGCGCACACAGAAATCGGATGCGACATCGGTGCCTGACTTGACACCGTATTCTTCTGGGCCCAAAGGGAAAATGAGCTTGGCAAGAGAACCAACCATACGCAATTGTGAATACGGCAATTGTGAATACCCTCTTCGCCCACGCTCCCGATGTGGCCACGACTTCCCGCCGGAACCCGACATGTTCAGGGACACGTTCGCGGCCGTTTTCGCGGGCGCCGACGACGACGAGGACGGCGCCCCCCTGACCGAGGAGCAGAAGCAGGAGAGGGCTTTGAGAGCCATGAGGGAAGCTGCCACTGGCGCCTTCGGTGTAGCTCCTATGGGGCCACGATCCTCGTGATGGGGTGCGCCGAAATGGCTCGCAGCCGCTATGCGAACCCTGCTCCCTATGGGGCTGCGATCTTCGTCAGGGGTGCGCCTTGATGCCCCAAGGCCGCCATGCGAACCTTGCCACTGGCGCCTTCGGTGGAGCTCCCTGTGGGGTCGCGATCCTCGTGAGGGGTGTGCCGAAATGCCCCGAGGCCGCCGTGCGAACCCTGCCACTGGTGCCTTCGCTGGAGCTCGGCCACGACCCTCGCGGGGTGTGTGCCGAAATGGCCCGAGGCCGCCACGCAAACCCTTCCACTGGGGCCGTCGGTGGAGCTTCATATGGGACGACGATCCTCGTGAGGGGTGCGCCGAGGTGGCCCGAGGCCGCCATGCGAGTTCCGCCACTGGGACCTCAGGTGGAGCTCCTTTATGGGGCCACGACCCTCGTGATGGGGTGTGCCGGAATGGCCCGGGGCCGCCGTGCGAGTTCCGCCATTGGGACCATAGGTGGAGCTCCCCACGGAGCCACGAAGCGCGCGAGGGGTGTGCCGAAATGGCCCGAGGCCACCGTGCGAGTTCCGCCAGTGGGACCGCAGGTGGAGCTCCCTATGGGGCCACGCAGCGTGTAAGGGGTGTGCCGAAATGGCCCGAGGCCGCCATGCAAGTTCCGCCATTGGGACCATAGGTGGAGCTCCCTACGAAACGTGTGGGGTGTTTGCCGAAGTGGCCTGGGGCCGCCATGCGAGGTCTGCCACTGGGACCTTAGGTGGAGCCTACTGTGGGGCCACGAAGCGTGTGAGGGGTGTGCCGAATGGCCCGAGGCCGCCATGCGAGTTCCGCCATTGGGACCATAGGTGGTCTCTCTGGGGCCACGAAACGTGTCAGGGGTGTGCCAAAATGGCCCGAGGCCGCCATGCGACTTCCGCCGTTGGGACCTTCAGTGGAGTTCCCTATGGGGCCATGGAGCGGGAGAGGGGTGTACCAAAAATGGGTCGAGGCCGCCATGCGAGTTTCGCCACTGGGACCTCAAGTGGGGCCCCTTTTTATGGGGCCACGAAGCGTGGAAAAGGGGTGTGCCGAAATGGCCCGAGGCCGCCGTGCGAGTTCCGCCAGCGGGACTTTCGGTGGAACTCCCCAGGGAGCCACGAAACGTATGAGGGGTGTACCGAAACAGAGTCATGCGGAGAGCAAAGAGAAGGAGGAGGAGGAGGAGGAGGAGGAGGAGGAGGAGAAAGAGGAGGAGAAAGAGGAGGAGGGGGAGGAGGATGAGGAGGAGGAGGAAGAACGCGGGGCGCCGTCTCTTAAAAAACGAAGACCCAACACCACAGGATGATTGGGAACAACATCGTCCTGGGGATTGAGGAGCCCGTGAGGCCGCACCCGAACCCTCGGCCCTCGGCGCCCAGAGGCGCGGATCCCCCCGCGCGGCCGCGCGGCCGACGCGCGAGGCCGTGCCCGGGCGGCGCCGGCAGACCGCCAGGGCGAGGCCGTCGGTGTGGGCGCCAGCCGCGGAGACGAGGCGCGGCCATGTTCCTTTTCTCCTTCGAGGGGGTGGTACTTTGGGGCCACAACCCTTCGACTTGTGAAAACATTGCGGCGGGAGGTTCTTCGCCATTTTCGACCTCCGGTGGCCCGCACCGGGCATCGGGACCGTCAAAAAACGATTCAGGACGAAAAGCCCGTCCCGGGGACGGGGTCGGGACCTCTGGGGGTCGACCTTGCGAGAAAAACATTACGTCGGGTGGGGAAAAGGGCCATACAGTTGGGCCAGATTAGTAGGTCGACCCTGCCAAATCAAGGGCACCTGTGGCTCGCAACGTTGAACATGCTTCCTACATTCCTGTGTCTCGCGACCCATGCTTCCTACATTCCTGTGGCAATGTGATCGACTGCAGGATTGAGGTACTCAAGATTTTTGATTTGTCGAACCAGCGAAAAATGCGCAGAATGCTCCGCAGATCTATGGAGCCAGATTCGACTGGGAAATCAAGTTTGGGGTACATCGATTATGTCCTCCTCCACCTCCTTTTTGTTCTCCTCCTCCTTCGCCTTGACCTCCTTCTCCTCCTCCTCCCTGGCACAGGGAGGCCGCCTTACATGTCGATGGCTCTGGGGGGCCACGCGACTGGCACGGCAGCTGAATCCAGCAGAATCCTCCTCCTCCTCCTCCTCCTCCTCCTCCTCCTCCTCCTCCTCCTCCTCTTCCTCTTCGCCTTGCTGCGACCCCCCCCCGCCCCCTGACCAGACCGCCCCCCTCTCGCGCCCCCCCTTCTGTAGTCGATGCCCGGTCGATCCTCGTCGCGCGGGGGATAGCGCAGGCCTGGAGCATCCGTATCCGCGGCGCGCACCGCCGGCGGCGGGCCGATCCGGCGCGGCCCCGGGCCCCGGGCGTCTCCCCCCCCCGGCGCCGCGCGGGCGTTTTTCCAGCGCGCTGGGCGGGCCCCAGGCGTCTCCCCCCGGGCCCCCTCGGCGACGCGCGGGCATCTTTCCCGCTCCTCCGCCTCCTCCTCCTCCTTTTCCTCCTCCTCCTCCTCCCTCTCACTCCCGCCTTCCGCGTCCTACTCCTCCTCCCCATCCCCTCATCCTCCTCCTTCTCCTCCTCCCCATCCCCCTCCTCCCTCCTCCTACTCCTTCTCCTCCTCCTTTCCTTCCTCTCTCCTCATCCTCCTCCTTCTCTTCTCACTCCTCCTCCTCCTCCTCTCCTCCCCGCTGGCGCGCGCGGGCCGCGCGGGCCACGCGCAGAGGTGGGAGGGGGGGGGAGCGGCTCGACTTCGGCCACGGGCCCCGGGGGTCTCCCCCTGGGGCCCTCCTCCCAGCGCCGCGCGGGCGCGTTTCCCGCGCGCTGGCGCGCGCCGGCCGCGCGGGCCACGCGTTCGGATGCAGCTCCTGGGAGGTCGAATTCTGATTTTGCGCTGGTCCAAAGTTCGGCTTAGTCCTGCTTAGTCCCGCTTCCGCTTAATCCGGCCTAATCCCGCTTAATCCGACGCCCGCTCTGGCGTAACGGCCCCGCAATGGGGCTCAATCCTCCCTAATGTTTCTGACGGAGACCTCCCAGCAGTTGCTTCCTGACACGCGCAGAGTGAAATCGGGCACGTCCATCTACAGGAGGAATATTCAAAAACAGTTGAACAGTAGTCTTGGGACGATATTTAGACTATTTCTGACCATGCTCGAGCATATGTGGAGGATTGTTGCATGTTTCGCCCAAAATCTGCCTGTAGGAGGAGACGTGCCCGACCTAAGCGCAGAGCGGGGGGGGAGGGGCTCGGTTTCGGCCACGGGCGGCGGGGCTCGGCTCCGGCCGCGCGCAGAGGGGGGGTCTCGGCTTCGGCCACGGGCGGCGGGACTCGGCTTCGGCCACGCGCAGCGGGGGGTAGTTCGGCGGCAAGTCATGGAAGCCTCGGCTAGCGTCGATCAGCGTCTGGGCGTCGATGAGATAGCGCCGATTTAGCGTCGACCAGCACCGATCTAGCGTCGATTAGCGTCGATTGGGCGTCAACTAGTGCCGATCCGCAAGAGCCGACAAGATTGTATGGGAGGCTCTCATGAGTTGCCAGCGAAGGGTAGGGCGAGGGGGGATGGCTTCGTGGAAGGAGGCTGTTTCTCAGATGGCGCGGGCCTTCCCTGAGATCCTGGCGTTTCGACGTTTTCACACCTGGCAGTTTCTCATCTTTTCGGGCGCTGGGGCCCTCACGGATCGATCCGGCTCGAAACATGACGCATAAAGATGGGGTGTAGGGCTCGGGGCGTGATGTTTGTTACGATATTGCATGTTTTCTGCTACGTCGGATCTCAGGGAGGGGGGTAGGGCAGGGCAAGGGGGGATTGCGTCGTAGAGTATGGCTGTTTCTCAGAAGGCGCGGGCCTTGTCTGTAGATGCAGGGCTGGCAGTCTCCTTCTAACAAGCCTTCCCCCCTCCCCCTACCCCCTTTGTGCGCGCCGCCAACTTTTCTCGAGGGAGCGCAGGCATGGATCAAGTCTCGAGTCTCGAGGAAGAGAAGAGTCGGCATAAGCATAACTTGTCGACGGTCCGCGCGGACCGTCGACAACTTATCCTTATGCAGAGTTCCTTTCCTCTGGAGCCGGCGGGGGGTCTGAGGTGGTCTGGCACTGCTTCTGGCCGGCAGGGGAAGGTGTTTGCCTCTCTTAGCTTCCAGGACCGTTCTCGGGCCCGAGGACCGTCCGAACCGGAGCTGGGGTGAAACAGCTACACCGGATGGGCCAGTGGAGGGATCCGGGGATTCATGTTGACCTGATTTGCCTCCCCCCCCCATTTTGACGGAGGTTCTGGGGACCCATCCAGCTCAGACCTTTTTGCCTCCGAGCGCAAACATGGATCAGGTCGAGGATCTGACAATTGCATAAGCATAAACTTTCGGAACTTCGCGCGTGTTTGTCGGATCTGCGCTGAAACAATAGAGGTCCAGCGCTTCCTGGCCCCGGGTGTCTTGAAGTCCTGATCTGAACCATTGGTGGCGATGTTTTCCTCCCTGGGAGCTCGATTGTGGCTGGCGTCTCACCGGCTCTTCCGATGGGGCTCTGTGCGGTTGTCGATGACTCTGTTGCGCGCAGCAGAGGCACCATAGGAACTAAAGTCGGGCGCGTCCCTCTACAGGAGGAATATTCAGAAATAGTCAAAAATAGTATGGATGCGATTGATTGAATTTTTGTTGTTGGCATTGTTGGAGTATTGTGTTGACTATTTGTGATTTTCGTCCAAAATCAGCCTGTAGGGTGACATGCCCTACCTAACCATAGGATGAGTTCGGACTCAGCCTGTGGCCGTCGGGGGACAGATCGTCCAATCTTTTTCCGAGCAACAGTTGCCGATCTTAGACAAGACCAAGTTGGTCTCGAGTTTGGGGCCCCTCGGCCGAGACCTGGAGCGCGATCTGAAAGCCTCGGCTTCCCAATCGGTAGGGTCTCCCATGCTGTGGACCTGGGGTGCGACACTGCGGGTGGAGCTCGAAGGGTTGTCCGCAAGTTGAAGGAGCGACAAGCCTAGGTTCAGCTCCGTTTAGGTCGCATTTACAGGCTTCGAGGCATGCCAAGCTTTCTGTTATGTGCAAGGGCCTCTTTTTGCAAGGGGCCCTCCCTCAGTCCTCCTACGGGCACCCTGTGATTGGCACCCCGCCTTCTACGATCACGTGGTTGGGAAAGAGTAATTATACCCTGGCGGTCTGGCTTTGTGACCAGGATCCCGCCATTTGTGGACGGCCACGCCGTCGTTTCCCAGAAGGACTGGGGCCGCCTGGAACCATGTGCGCGCGAAGCTTGGACACGCTCCCAATCGGAGGTGGAGGCGAGTCCGACGCCCCATCGGGGCTGTCCAGGCCACATTGCTCGATTTAGGATGGCAACCTGTCTCTGTCCGTAGATACGCTAACGGCGATTTAGGTAACGGCGATGTATGTTTCGGTATTGTGGGAACGCGTGGCTCGCGACTTCCCTGAATTCGCTGCGTCGTTTTCCATTCGATGGGATGTGTAGGAAAGTGTGGTTCGTGATTACCTGCAAGTTGGTTCCCAACATCACCGTTAAGCATCACCGCCGTGAAGGAGACCCGTAGGCAGCGAGTGGAAGCTTTGGCAGTCTGGTCCTCCGCCAGGGGAGGCCAGTGCCGATGACGCGTTCGATTTGAATTTTGCCAAGCTACAGTCGAGCACATGATCAAGACATTTATCAATGAAGACATCTGGGCCAGCTTCCCGGAAATGTCTTACAGCAAGCTTGGGCCACTTTCTGTCGTTGACGCTGTAGGGGCGAACGCGCGCAAAAAACTGGCTCAGTTTTCCGCCACGTTGGTTAAGGAACGCGTGTCCGGCTTTTTGGGAGGAGGTGTCTTCACCACGTGCTCGACTGGAATCGAGGAGGTGCGCGAGGACATGGTCTCAGGGCCGTGCACTGCGGCCGCCGCTTTTCATCCTCGGGGCGAGCCTCCAGGTCAGGGAGCCGACCTCGGGGCTGTCAATGGCGGGCTCGCTCGGCCTGTCCGTCATGGAGCGTGATGATCAGATCGGCCAGCTACCCACTCACTGCTGTCTCGGGGCGGTCAGTGGCCGCCAGACAGGCAACTGGAAGCAGGGTACAGTGCTCGTCGTCGTCGCCGTCGTCGCCGTCGCCGTCCGTCGTCGTCGTTGTCGTCGTCGGCGTCGTCCTCCTCGTCCTCGTCCTCATCCTCGTCCTCGTTCTCGTCCGTAGCCATTTTGGCTCAAGTTTCGGCTCGAGAGCTTTGGGTGCGACAGCCAGCCTGTCGCGAGCTCTCCTCGGGCTGGGACCATCGCGCCTTCGGAGGAGGCGTGGCACAGGCGGGCGCGCCGCCAGCGCTCCAGCGCGCGCTCCCTTGTCCGCGCCTGGAAGGGGGCGCGGTCGCCGCTGCTGCAGGCGCGCCTCGTGGAGGCGGCCCGCCTGCTGGACGCTCACCACGGGTCCTCGGCTGGCAGCATGGCTGTGGGCGCTGGGCGTCGCGGTGGCGGTGGCGCAGGGCGGCAGCCTGGGTGGCAGTGCCCGGTGCAGTGA